TGTGAGCACGGATGCACCGGGGGGGTGAAGCAGGTGATTCCTTGGGTTCTGGTGGTAAAGTCACTCTTGCCACACTCCCAGACGTAACACTTCTGTACTTACAAGCCAATTCCTCTCTCAGTTTTTATTTGTTCTGTTGGGATTGGCTATGTTCTGTATATAAGATAGGATTGATTGCATAACAATCTGAAAATGTACCATATGATTTAAGAAATATTACTATAAACAATGTAGTTCGTAGCTTGTCATCACCTTTATCTGGGCAAACTTTCTGAAGAAACAGAGCTGTATGTCCAGCCAAATGTTTTGCAATCTTGATACTACATCGACTTTGGACATTTCAGTGTGGGGCATGCATATTTTAAGAAACAAGATGGGTTCCCTTATGCTGAGGCCCCAGATTTTTTACCTGATAATTCTAAACTGTGATGAAAATACAACATCCTTCCCCATGTTCAAAAAGCAGCAGCAGCTAAAAACGCCGCTCTGCCCTACAGTCAATCCCACTACACTAGTAAGCTTTATTATGCTGCATCATTTCTGTACACATGAATGTAACTGAGAATATAATTCCAGTCCTTGGAAATGAGAAATGAGACCCTGCGATGAACCATAGACTCAATGTCAATCCCCTGCAAAATAACGGCACACGTAATTCTGGACTCCAGGAAGAAGTAGGAGCCAGAGACTCAATTCCTATTAGCATCAATCAGTCAGGCTTCAGGGATGGCAGATCCGGTCAGACAAAGCAGCTTCTCCAAAGAGCCAGGAGAAAAAGCAGGTCTTGGTCACCCGCTGGTGGGGACGTCTGCTTTGGGAAAGTCTTAACGGAGCTGCCGTGACGTAAACCAGACCAACAGGAGCCTCCAGGTGTTCACGCTATTCTGGTAGCGTAGGCAACTGGTATTTTTAACTGCGTAGGAGATCCGTGCAGTGAGCATCCTCATCCCCCAGCGCCTCCTGCCCCTCTGTCCCTCCCCAGCTGGCCATGGCAGGAGCTGCAGGGATAACGGGAATGATCTTCTGCGTGGTAATAACTGCACAGGGAAAAAAAGGAAATACAGCTGAGGTAAAGCAGTGGGTTTGCCTCTCTGTTGGTAAGACTCTTGCTAGGCTTTTGTGCCTTGTTCCACTGTTCACATTTCAGGATGATTCAGATATTCCTCAAAAGAGAGAAACAAATATTATCTAGGAAGCCTTAAAATAAAAATTAAGCTTCTGGTTCTCAAATCATTGGCAAAGAAAGATGAAGAGGTGATTTATCATGTTGTACGGGTCCTTAGTCATAGGAAAGATACTTGATAGTAAGGGGGTGTTCGGTCTTGCAGACAAAACCATAATAAGATCCAATTTCTCAAAGCTGAGTTTAGTGGAATGCAATTTTGAACCAAGATGCTATTTCCTGGCAGCGAGGGGGTATTTAATTGCTGAAAGTGCTTACCAGATGTGGCAGTGCGAGCATCACCTGGAATTGCCAGGATAAGACTAGACAGCTTTCTAAAACATAGACTTTAGTCAGGCTTCTGGGAAAATTTCTAGAGCCTATGACTGAGTTCAGACTAAATTACCCTCCAGCCCCTCTGGCTATATAAATTCCACAAATCTGTTAATACGATTGAATTTCGTTCATACCAAATTCTGTGCTCCATAACCATGGCTTGCTCGTAGGATAACTGGGGAAAGATTTTCCAGTTGTGTGCCATGAAAGCATATGGTTTTGTCAAAGTTAAAATATTTGACAAAATACTGTAGATTTGGGGTTAGAACATGGCAGGCAAAATCTATAACAAAGGCGGTGAGACTGGCAGCCAAAGTTAATGGCTGTCCTAAAACCCGGAGGAGAGGGAACGAGCTGGAGCTGCAGGAGGAAATCCAGGGCTGGGAGCCCGAGCGCTGGGGAAAATGTGCTGCGTTTTGTGAGCAGAGGATGCTTGCGAAGGAGGTGAGTGATAAAGAGCAAATAAAACCTTATGAGGAAAGGCAGAGGAGGACGAAGACAACGCTTGCATTAAGTAGCAGAGAAAAGAGCAGACTGTGTTGATCTTTGTCTTGGAAAAGAAATTTTGTTCGTCTATGTGAACTGAATGAAATCCTTTTACTTCAATTCTAGATTCCTGCCTATTGCAGGACTGCCAGTGTATTTTTTTTGGAGATTTTTATTTTGGGAGATTTGATTACAGTTGCTTACACAATGCAGCTTTTCTGCTGGTGTTCATTCCTTATGGCACTCTGCTCACAGGACCGGCGGTGGCTGTGCTGGAGGACCAGCAGCAAGAGCTCCTCATTCCCACCGAAATCCAGGTTACCTTATTTCTAATCTGTTTGTATCAGTCACGCTAAATCAGTTTACTGAGCAAGGAGTAGATATTTCATCCACCCATTTTCTGGTGATGGATGCAGGGAAGAGACGGGACTAAACGTAATCCTGACCCTGGCACAGCCTGAGCGCCGGGAGCCCTCCTTTAACTCGCTTTAGTCTGCACTGGCCACCCCGGTGCCATCGTGGCAGCACAGCATCCCCCAGCCACCTCCTCTGTCTTCAGTGACAAGTTTAAGGCAAATAAAAATCACCTGGAAAAATAGCATTAGGTGTCGGGTGTGAAAAATCCCTCTGTGGTGCTGCTTCAGTAATGCCAGAACACGAGCAAATCTCTCTCTCTTTCTACCTTCAAAGGTGCAGAACCTTGAATAAGAAGTTTAATGCTGTTGGAAATCTTACAGCGTAACATTTACTTAATCTGGAAGATACTTCCACAGTTCCAAATAGATATTGCATCAGTCGATTGTATATATTTACTTGGGAGAAGAACTGTTTCGAGTTACTTGATTCCTTCACTTGACTTTCTGGAAGTATGTTTGTTCTTGAAGGATAAAGAAATAAGTAACTCAGATTTAGGAAGATATTTTAAAAATATTGTAGACTGACTAAAGCCACTGCATATGCCACATTACTCGCGATATTCTGCTCTCAGATGGATTTCTGCATTTCGGATAGGATGATCCCTCACCAGCTGTCTTTAGGAAGTAGATTTATTTTTCATACTCTGTGCACAGAAATAAGAATTCCTTTCAATGTTTTGTCTGTGGCCAAGCTGTACCATTAATGATATTTAATTTGGGCTGGGCTGGGGGGTGGGGGGGACCTGCATCAGCAGTGCCCCGTTGCAGGGCGTGGGGGACCCCGAGGACGGGTCCTGGCACGGCATAGCTGGCGTGGGGTGGGCATGGAGGCGGAGGCTGGTCACCTTCTCCTTTAGGACTTCTGCAGAGGGAAGTCGAGTAACGGGTTCATTGCAGGTCTCTGCAAAGAAATCTGATTAATAAATGACCCCTTTCAGTGGAAAGAACTCTTCGGTATGTTTCAGCCCCTAAATATGCTGACTGCATGCTTTTCCAGGTCATCAAGGGAGGTGGGGAGGAGGACTGTCACCTTTGTGAGTGAGACTGTGGCAAATTCAGCGGTACATCTCTGTTCGAGTGATGGGGTAAACCTGCTTGAACTTCACAGGCGGGTAACGCTGAATTTCACTGCGTTAGGACCTGGGAAGGGTTCGGCCTTCCCCAGACCTTTGTTTTCCCTCAAGACAATGTTTCTCTGCTGATTAAAAATACTCTACATATAGACTTTTAATTTTCTTTGCTTACAAATGCATAGCCACAAGCAAGCACTGAGAATTTCCAGGTTTTTGAAGTCTGTCTGACCCCAGCTTATTTCTGTGACTGAAATGCTTCCAGTCACTGGACCAGGGAAGGGGCTGGAGAACATCTGCAGGTGGAGATCCCAAAGCACACAAACCCCGTCAGTGCATATGAAAAAGGACACCCAAGGGATGCTAACAATGTATTCCAGGTTGCAAAAGTGTATGTATGGGGTCAAACGGTGGGATTTTGGCTGTGACGAACTGGAGCAAACCAGTGAGACAAGACTGTGGCATTCAGGAGAGGAAAGCTCCAGTCGGACAGAGACTTTGGTTAGGAAAATGGAAGATCATGAACTTTTTCTTTCTCATTGTGTTGGTACCCATTTACCTTGCAGAGCACTTTGATTTTAAAGCAGTTGTTACAGAAGGTTCTGAAACACCCACATGTACGATCGGTATCTTCTACAGATATTTGTACAAAATTTGTCATGTATCATATAGAGGACAGTGCTTTTTCAGAAACATCAATAGGGTATGCCTTGTTACCACATTGGTTTGATTTCTGGATCAAACGTAATGATAAGACATGTGAAGAAATACATATTTCTTTAGAAAGAAAGATTCATTCTGAAATCCAGAATTCCTGCCTTTGTTGCTGGCACCCTGAGTTCCTTTCCTCCCTGTGTACCATTACAAGAAGTGAAGCATTCCCTTAAGGGTAGGCCCTTTCATGCTTTCCATCATTTTCCATCCATGTGGAACCCTGTTCTCTTATGCCCAGATGTATAAATAGTACAGAAAATGGAGTTTAGTGAAGAATTCTGACAATAAAATGAAAGAAAATAAAATCTATCTTATTTTTTCTTATCCATGTTGCTACTGCAAGCCTAAAAGCAATACAAAGCAACAGAAATAAATGTATTTTAGTGTTCTCCATGAGCAGATATGACTCTCCAAGTACACACGGAGTAGATGTAATAGGCACCATTATTTTTAAAAGTACAAGAAAAATTTAATTTCATCTTCTTTTCAAACTGTCACGAGCAAGCTCAACCTTCTCTTAAACAAGAGCATCCATCAGTAGGAGTTTGCTGAGAACTCGATAACAATACCCGCTCTGCACAGAATAGAGGAAATTGCTGCTTTCTTATTTGTAGCTTTTTGAATCCAGGGCTGAGCTTCTGCAAACAGCGTGGAAATTGCTGCGGTCACACCTAAACAAGGCTTTTGCATAGTTATATTCCAACGGCTACAGGTGTTTTTACCAGTACCGGCAGTATGGGTGTCCCAGCTCTCCTCACCTCCCCGTGCACTGACTCAGCACCTTTCCCTTACAACTTTCTCCTTGTTTCCTTCCAGTTTCTCCGAAGATATTTCGTATCTCGAGTGACATCGTTGTGAACGAAGGAAGCAACGTTACCCTGGTGTGCCTGGCCACGGGGAAGCCAGAGCCTTCCATTTCCTGGAGGCACATCTCTCCGTCCGGTAAGCCCAAGTATCTCTCACCCGGAGCTCTCCGCAGCCTTTCACCAGGAACTTTCAGTTTTCGGGGGTGTGACAGCATCGCTTTTGTATGCCTTAAAAAGTGTGTGCTAACTAGACTTTCAGAAAGCAAAAGCTGCTTCGGATTTCAGCTGAGTGAAAACGCCAATACTACTGTAACACAGGAACGTAGAAATAAAGGCACCCTAAATATAATTATATTCTTAAGCTCATTTTAACAGGCTGCAGATATTAATCAATTCCAATTAAAAGCAAAACAAGGAAATAATCAAGAACACACAGGGCTCTCTAGAACCAGGAGCGAAAGTTAAAAACATTAATACATCGTGCAATAGATTTAATTTAATGTAACTGCCATTGAACCATTATTCCATGATACAGCATAGTTTGTTAGAATGGTTTTATTGAACAAATTCAATTACATGTATGAAAAATTGCAAACACAATGGCACCTAAAAGCACAGTTTCTATTTAATATTTCCATTTATACTTTTAATTCCTCCTAACATTTAAAGGAAAACTTTCAGCTAGCATTGCAGGCAGCTCTCCGCAGGCTGACTTGGTGCAGAGCCACCCGTCTTGCACTGGTTCTTTTACGGGGACTCTACAATGATAATTGATTTTGCAGTGAAGGTCTTTCTGTTTGCTCACACTACTTTTATGAAATCCATGTAATTGCAGGGAAGAACGGTTTCATGGACTGTCACAGCTTACCGCAGTGTCTCATAATCCTGAGTAACAGTTTGCTTTACAAAGCAAGATCTGGGGGAAAAAAAAAAAAAAAAAACCAAAACTTTTGACCTTTAAGACAATGACAATGAATTCTGCTTGAAGTGTCCGTCAAGGGACTAGGGAAAAAAATTCAGTGGTAGCAAAAAAATGGATTTTAACTAAATGTCAAATAAAGTTTTATTGGAAACCGTGGTGATACTTTAGAGTAATAGCTTAAAGCATTAGATTGTCTACAGAAAGGAGCTGTTACAATTTTCCTGGAGAGGAAAAAAAGCAGAAAAGGAGAATTAGTGCACTCTGGCTGGAGAAGGGGTCTGAGGAGGAATTAGATCCTCCTCATCTTGAACTCAGACAGAATTAGCGCACGTAATCACAAGGGCTTTCAGTGAACCCACTGATTTTGTCTCTTGACCAAAGGACTGAAAATGAGGACTGAGAGGAAAAATGTGATCATTCAACTGCAGACCCATTACGCTTACCACAATGAGAACTGAAAACGACATTTGAGGAAAAGACTAATCAAAGATATCACGGTACAGGGAGAGTCAATCAAAGTGCTCACGGTTCAACGACGATGTGGTCTTACCGAGCGCCTAGCACGGCGGGCAGGCAGGTATGTTGTCTCAGCACCGAAGATTTGAGGGCAGGCGGTTACAGCCTGGGCTTTGTTTCCCTTCCCGGCTGATCCCTGCTTCGTTCCGCCTTCTCAGCCCTTCCTGGGAGCGTATATGAACAGTGCCCATAGGAGAGAGCAACGTGCGTTTACCATATACTCTGCTGTTTCATCCTCTCCGCTGGAGCATCTTGACCAAGCAGTTGGCAGGTAATCCTGCAAATCCCATGCGCCTTCTCCTTCTCCGAGTTTCTTTGGGGAAGGGTGGCTTGTTGGATGGGTTTTGCCACATCTCTTACTCTCTCACCAGGAAGCAGTAGGTCAGATGAAACACAAACATGGGCTTGACAAATTTGGTACTCAAAAAAAAAAAAAAAATCACAGAAGTGAACCACAGTTCTGGATCCATCTCCTTTACACCCCCTGTCAGGTGAGAAGGAATAATAACGCCGTTGAAGTTGTTACAGACTCACCTCGCTTCGCCCCCTCCCCCGGGTGATTCGCACCCCCTTCCCTGCCCCGCCGGGGCTGAACTTCGGTGGCTTCACTCTGGTGGGGGGCTCTTATGGCGAGCTGTGAGCATCCTCTTCGGGGGGAGGAATATGACGTTCACGGTGGTGGTTTCTTCTTCCTCCCTTTAAGATCTGTTTGGGGTCATTTTTAAATGTTTGCTATCATGCTTCAACACCTTTGCTCTTTCTTCATTGCTCTGCAACTCCATATTACATCCTAATGTACTAGTTGAGGTGCCTTCTACGTCCGTCCGATGCTGTTCCTTTGTTCCTCGATACCACTAAGCCCCACTTTGTCCAGCTCCAATCTGCATTTCTTTCAGTGCCCACGGGTGAGCTGTGTACAGCCGTGGGGTCTCCTGTGGCAGCGCCCGCCCACCCCCCGCCGTGCCTGCCCGCCTCTGCGCCGTGTCCTGTGTCCCCTGCTCCCACGCCAGCCTGAGTTTCTCTGCATCGCACCATAGAACAGTCATGAAAACCTCGTGGTACACAGGATAACCACTCGCTGCTGCTGGCGGTGTAAAACTATGGTCGTACCATGGAAATGCAGAGGTAAAACAGATTAGCCAGGGATGCCCGGTGGGTTGGAGGAGATGCTGCCCCAGCTGAACCAGGCTTGACAAAGCTGCAGGCAGGGCAGGTCCGGTCCAGGCAGAGATGCTCTGACAAGCTTCAGTGCTGAGGCCTTGCAAACTCATTGCAAATGCTGCATTACAGGGCTGCATCGTTACAAAACTGTGTCACCCCAGAGGTGAGCACCGGTGCGGCCGCTGTAGAGCACGAGGACGTGCCTTGCTGTCCCCCGGTTGATGAATGGACAGAACTCTGTCCGGAGTGGGAGAACGCAGGATCCAAATAACTTTTTGCTCAAAAATCTTGTAAAATGTGATGGAAGCGAACATATAATTTACAGAATATGTTCTGTCCAAATAAAGAAGAATTTCTCCATTTCAGTAGCACTGTACCAATTTTGTGCTCAGGTGTATGTTCTGGTGCACAGCCAGTTATAAATGGCACTCAAATCCAATTAAATATCAGTCTGGCAAACAAGAAGCCTGGATTTATTAGAAAACAAAATGCAAGAGAGTTGAAAACACCAGATTTCTCTAACAGTTTATATTCTGTCTGCAGCAAATTACCTTTATCTAAACATAAGCTTCATATGCACTTTACAATTTCTACCAGTTTTCTCCTGTAATTCCCAGTGGCACTAATGAGGCTTACATGCAAGCATCACATCTAGAATACAACACTAAATTATATTAATGAATCATATTTAGAATATTCTGAAATTGTTTGTCAAAGCTGCTACTAAAAGATAAGAAACTGAAATCTCTGAATACAAATGATTCAATGTAGACTAATTCCAAAATATTATCATGATGTGCATCAATGCAGCCTTTACTTGGATAAGGTTGGATTCAATTTTTTTGAACAAGAGATAAAACAAACCTTTAATAGGAATAAAAATAAAATGTATTTAGAGGTGATTTTTAACTTAGTACATAAATCATTGGCCTGGAATCTTTATTGTGCATGTTTAACGTGAAGTCATTATGTAAATGTTTTCGTTATATAAATATTCATTATACAAACCCATTATGTAAATCCACAAAATCTACACATTCAGCGTAACACCATAAGAAGTATGGGGCTGTAGTTTGTAATCTGAAAATCTTGTATTGTTGAAATGTCATCTGAATAAATTGCAGGTATTACTTATTTTGTTCTGACATTTAAGAGCAAAGTGCAGCATCAATAGTTTAAGAATGAAACCGGAATTTTAAAGAATTAAGGTCTGCCTGAGACATAACTCCAGCTTTTAACACACTCGTATGCACCGTGTGTGTGTTTGCAAAGCAAGCTCTGCCAGCGTTGCCAGGAGCGGTAACGACAAAAGCCATTCAGAAATCTTTTCATAAAACGTTGCTGCTTTGCAAAATCCGGGCGCTGTGTGTTGAAACTCTTTTCCGCTGCGGTTTGACAAGACTTTCCGAAGGCAACTTTCCCGGCCGCAGCGGGACGGATGCGGGATGCTCGGGTGGTGTCGGGCAGAGGGGCTGCGCGGGGAGCAGCGGCAGAAGCACGCACCGCCTGAGCGCTGTGCTCCTTAGGACAGGCCTGCTGGGAAAGCCCAACCTTCCCTGGGCTTATCTGAATGCAACACAGGTTAAATTCCATAGCTGCAAAAACTCTTATGGGAAAAGCAAAACTTTTTCTACCTAACTGCCTTAAAACAAAATGGCAATTCTGGAAAGTTCTTACCATAGTTTAATGGTCAGGGTATAGAGGGTTTTCATTTGGTTATATTTGTGTTCAGTTTTGGGCCCCTCACTACCAGAAGGACATTGAGGTGCTGGAGCGTGTCCAGAGAAGGACAACAGAGTGGTGAAGGGTCTGGAGCACAGGTCTGATGAGGAGCGGCTGAGGGAACTGGGGTTGTTTAGTTTGGAGAAGAGGAGGCTGAGGGGAGACCTGATCACTCTCTACAGCCACCTAAAAGGAGGTTGTGGTGAGGTGGGTGTTGGTCTCTTCTCCCAAGTAACTAGCAATAGGACAAGAGGAAGTGGCCTCAAGTTGCATTAGGAGAGGTTTAGCTTGGATATTAGGAAAAATGTCTTCACTGAAAGGGTGGTCAGGCATTGGAGCAGGCTACCCAGAGAGGTGGTGGAGTCACCATCCCTGGAGGTGTTCAAACACCGTGTAGACATGGCACTTCGGGATGTGGTCTAGTAGACATGGTGGTGTTGGGTTGACAGTTGGACTTGATAATCCTAGAGGTCTTTTCCAACCTTAAAGATTCTATGATTCTATGAATTAAGCAAATGGAGAGAAGCGGGGTGTCTCTCCACATCCCAGCGGGTTCTTTTGGCAGTTGCCACTACAGCACGTGCATGGAGGCATCGGAGTGGCTGCTGTCTCTCGCGGGGAGGACACTGAGAGCCAGCAGAGCCAGCAGGGCAGGTGGGGCGATCGCTCAGACGTGTATGGATAGGTTTTGCTGAACTAGCTAAATATCTGGATGGATGCTGGGAGAAACAAGGTGCTTCAAATGAAGACAACAGTGACCAGGATGGGTCTGTATCAAATGGAGAGAGAGAGACGGGGGAGAGGGGGGCATAAAAAGATTGGAAGAGTAGCCTCACTTTTGGCTTCATTCAGAGTGCTTGACTTCACAACCAGAATATTTACCACAAGTGTCGTTAGATGAAGTTTCATACGTTTCAGACAAATATTTTCACTCTGGGCAGTCGCTGTTGGCATCGTGGTGTTACCCAGCGCCTCACACGCAAGGCTGAGCTCCGCACATGCGCTCTGCAGCACCAAGCGAGGTGCGAGACTTGAGGGCACCCAAGAGGTTCTCCTCCAAAGTGCACTCCTGGTCCAAACTCAAATGCTGATACAGACCACCCAAAGTGCATGAATTCCACCCCTTCGAACGAAGGAAACCGTGTGCATGGTCCCCTGGAGGGACTCTCACGTGGTCCTGCCATGGGCAGGAGTTAAGCCTGCACAACCAGGACAGTTCTGCTCCGCAGCCAAGCCACCCAGACCTGTATTTTCCAGTTCTTCCCTGCTCTCTTGCCCTTTTCTCACAGTTTTATCCCCATCACTTCCAGTCTAGTTTCAAGTTATTTTCCTAAAACGCAGATAAACTGGATATAAAGTATATGCAGCGTTTGGGAGAACAGATTTTCAGAAATTATGAGTTTAGCTGAATGAAGACAGATTTTCCCATGTTGAGTGAAAGGCAAATCGCTAGCACCAGGACACTCTTGTTCATTCAGTCCTGTTTCCAGAGAATGGTGACACTGAAACATTTCTAAAAAAAAAACCAAACAAACCCCAAACCAAACCAAAAACCCCCAAACAAAAACAAAA